GACCAATGGATTCATGATCTAATGGCCACATTCCCTGGCCCATTCTCTTCCTCCACTTCAATGAACTGGGTCTACCATGGGCATGGACCTTGCAACAGAGTGCTGAAACTCTATGCACAGGCTCACCACAGCTGGACCTGTTCCCTGTCTAGTGGCTTTGCTATATTGTGAGTCTTCCATGGCAACAAGTTTTAACAAGTTCTAGTAGATAAGTCAGTTTGCTAAGAATGCCATAGTAGAATTATATTTGTCTAGATCTCTTGATTCTTTGCAGTCAGTTATACCTGTTGCCGATGTGAGCCAAGACAGAGTATGTCAACCATAAGAGAGAAAGGATGCCATACTTTCTGAGAGAGATTGTATTTTATATATACTGTATGTGCGTGTTTGTGTGTGTGCACACATACACACACACAGCCTGCTTGGTCAAAGAAAAGGCCAACACAAATTCCTTCAAAAATGTAGTCATTGAGAGTGAAATTCACATCAGTTTAGGGGGCCTGAACAAGACCCTACAAAGCTATCAAAGCCTATCTAAGCCCTTACACAAATCCATAGCTCACCAATGATATAATGATTTGAACTAAAGGAGTAACTTATGACAAGACCTATAACACTCACATAGCAAAAGACTAGACTCAAAAAAGATGAAATTTTTTTTCTTTAAATGTGAAGAAAATCAGGGTTGTTACTCCTTGTACTGATAGAAGACAAAGATTACATCTACTTTGACGAAATGCAAAGTTTTACTTCACTCATACTGTACTGCTTCTAGTAAAATGGAATGTGATATGCATTTTATATTTCAAGCACAGAAGTGATTTGTTTGAAATTAAATTATGATTACCTGCATGACTTATGTAATTTCCATAGGGATTGATTAATTGGACAAACATGGGTTCAATTAAAAGGGGAAATAAACATTTGAACAATACTTTCTTTTTTTGGAGAGGGAACACTTTATGGATGTTGGAAAATAGTAAAGGGGGAAAAGATCATGTCAGCACAATGTTGTTGGTCATATACAACGCAATCTTATGTTTCATAGTTTTCAACACAGGAAATGGGTATATTAGAAGCTGACTAATTCACAGGTTTTTCTAAGTCAGCTACAGTGGTTCCTTTGAATGGCTCTGAAGAAACAAGCTGTAACCAATGGTTTTATACCAGCTTCAATAATACACATTTCAAAGCCAAAATAGCCTGGCTATGTAGCTGTTTACAGAGTCAGCATTCAGTGGAGAAAATAAGTGTCAACAAGTTCCATTCTGCCAAGTCTGAAATTCATATAATCACTTAATCACAATTCCTGGGAGCATAAAGATGGAAAGGACACATTCTAGTTTTGTTTTTCTCCTCAGTAAAGCTGGAAGATCCTTACTGGTTTTCATTGTATCTAAGAAAATTCCACCTACTTGCTCCTAGTATCTGAATATTTTTGCAAGGTTTAGTGACGTTTGTGTTAAAGTTTGCAAAGTTGAATATTATACCAGGGAAGTGTTTCAGTATCACTGTAATCCAATTCTATCCATATATCCCATCATTGTAGTAATAATGGAAGAGGGTAAGTTAACTAAACCATATCCCAAACATACATATCCAATAATTACGGGGCTTACTCTGAGAGACAATATGTCCCCTACATACTGCACAATTTCTTAAAGTTTACTGCACGTGACCTATCTGTTGAGCACTTTATCACTTTGACTGTAACAGCACATAGGTGAGATCTAGGTATTGTAAATGTACACCTGTGTGAATATATTAAAAACCATCTGTCTTCAGAATGTCTGATAATTACGTTATCTTACACCTGGAAATTATGTGAATTCTTATTCATGAAAATAAGAGATTCTTTATCTTCAGACTCAAACCCAAAAGAAATGAACAGCTACCTAACTCCCACTCCACTGACCTTCTAAATCTACTTTTTCCTGACTTTTTACTTTCTTTTTTAATTTTTTAATTTTTTAATTTTTGGATATAGTTTTTGAATGGAATTATTGACTAAGCAAATGGATATAGCTACTTTTAATAAGACCAGTTCATGTTTATACACATCTTCCTCAAGGATCTGCTGGACAGAAAGAGGACCTGTGAAAGTAAGATACATGGAAAGGAGATTTGTAAATAAGTGGTGCAGTAACTGCTTCCTGGGTCTCTGACTAGAACTGTACTAACTTCCATGGTCAGGCACAACCCTTACGTGAGGAAGGGTCCTTCCTTAACTTACTGTTCTGAATCCAGCTCCACCTTTAGACAGGCAGAGGGCATTTCACATCACTTACACAGATTTTACAAGGCATGTAACTCTGTGTTAAGTTAAAGAAAAACAGTTAAGTTAAAGGGAACACTGGGCAGCCAAGAGGGGAAGCCTTACTTGGTAGTTCAGTGAGAAGGGCAGGGAAGGGAGAAAGCTCTGGGTTCTGGCTGCTGTACTTAATGGTATTCCTGCATTTCACATTAATACTCTTTGGATAAAATGGATAAACAGCAGCAGGACAGTTTTTGCCCTTCCAGGGTAGTACACATCTCACTAAACCACAAAGGAAGACATGGTTCCATGTACTTTCGGCTCTAAGCTGTCCAGGGGGCCAGCTACAATAGGAAGGAATGGAGGATGCTCTTGGCCCTGCCTAGCCCATGGACTGTGGTTAGCATGCTTTGTTCAGAATTAGGATATAGAGGTTCAACCCCCGCTTCCTGCCTTATGACTAAGGAGTACCAAAAACCTAGGTCTCCCACTGCCCAGACAAATGCCATGACTTCTAGGCTAGTGGATTGACTGCTAGGGTCCAACTAACTAGGTATGGTTTTACTGCAAGTAAAATTTTGGAGACTTGCACAAAATTATGCACCTTCCTGGTTAGAATAGGATTACAACAGGTATAAGTAGCTGGAGAGGATCCCTTTTGAGCATGTGCAGTGAGGCAAATTCAGTTCTGGAGTGGGGAATAGGACATAAAATCCATTCCAGTAGCCTAGAATACCACTTAAATAGCTAATTTTGGCAGCATATGTGCCAAATACCTATTTGGGCCTAAGTGCACGGTGTGCTGATGAGGTGAGGAACTCACTCAGAAAAGCTTCTCATTCAATGAGGAGCTCCAGAAATCCTGTAACATAACCGTTATTTAGGGGTTGTTTTATATTTGCAAACAGACAGTCTCTTCCATGGAGAGACTGGCCTGGTGAGCAGTCAGATTGCATGGTCTTTTGGACTCAGCGTATCCACAAATACACTTTCAACTTCATAGAGCCCAATTAATGATACAGGTGTTATGTATAAGATCAAGTGTCACATTGCATCTAAAGGGAATTCCTTTTCTGGCAGCTAATTCAATATACAAAAGAAAAAATGCTATAACATTGTTTGTCTAAATGTATTAGCTTAGTCAACATATTTATGTTCTGCATCAACATTTCTAATGTACATTTACATATAAGCATGTTATAGGTGTCACTTGTAAAATCAGGTGTCACTGGGAAAATCCAGGAGATTCAGAGCTAGAGCTGAAACCCCAAATTAAATGTAATTCATTATATTTAGGCATGTAATTAATACTTTGTAATAATATTTACTGTTTTAAAAAATCCTGTTGCATAACCAGAGGCCTTTTGACTCATATTGCAAGGTGAGCTGGAACTGAGACCATGCATCTCCGTTTTAATGGCACACTCATTTCTTTAATGGCTAGACAGCAGTCTATCTGCCTTTATTTAACAAATATATGTACCTTACTGCTCAGAGGGCTAACAAATCAATGGTGATGCTTTCTTGAGTATAAGGCCTATTTCTTTCTGATCCACTATCCCAAATGCACTGCATATTGTCCTTGTCCACAGAGCTCAGGAGCAGAAGATGAAACCAAATCAGGACAAAAAAGGCAGGCTTGATTTTACAATTCTTGAAATCATCCTGGTGATGGTACCACAAAGGCTTGACAAACCCACCATTTGAAAATGTTTTAATCATTGAAACATTTTCACCTCCTACTGCTCGATTAACTTCCCCCTGGTGCTAGGGCCAGCAGACCCCATTTTTCCCCTGGTTCTTAAAGGAACATCACAGCCCTCTTGACACCAAGATTTCAACAATATCCATCTAATGTTTTCACTTGAAATCAAGTCATATTGCCACCTCCTATTTACAATCTTCTGTTGTAGCCAAAACCCTACTTCCCAACACATGCATGTGTGTGTGCATGCACATGTATGCATGCATACACACACACCACCAGTCTTCTCAAAACCAAGACAAGGAGACCTCAACCCATCTGAGCATCAAAAATGATGTGTCCTGAGCTTGCCCTGCTACCTATTTTAATGAATATATATTGGCTTTTGCCAGGTGTTCTCTTGTCATATCCTTAGTAGAGTTTCCAAGATACCTTTCATCACTACTGTTAAATTTATCTGGTTGCAGATTTCTGGTTTGTATTTTCCACTAATTTTGTTTAAAAATTAGAGCTTTAACATATTTGTCATTTTCTGGTCTTCACAGAATCTCTTCAACAAACTTATTGGGCACCTATACATGTGATGGACCTCTGCTCCGATGCATGTTAATTAGCATGCATCAGAGCAGACTCAATTAATTAAGTCTGCTGCGAGTCTGCTGGAGCATGCTAATCAGCACGCTCCAATAGCCTCCACGTCATGTATATTCAGTGCCCCCACATTTCAAAATGGCAATGGGGGTGCTTTAATTTAAGCTTTTTGAATGAGCATTAGTTAAAGTACCCCTGCCGCCGTTTGAAGCACAGAATGCTGAATCATGTGACACTGCAGGTGCTTTAATTAAAGCACCCCACCTCCACCTTGGAGCATGTGTATAGACTCAAGTAAGTGCATTACTTGAGTTACCAGAGTTACTATAGATGACACTAGATAATAAATAAATAAACGCTTTAATGAATAATCCAAAGTGTTCCAAAGAAATAACACACACTCTTCCAAACTAAAATCTACTGTAGTATTTCCACCACAAATGTACTTACAGACATTTTCCCACCACGATTGGCTTCCTCCCTTTCTGCCAGCGCCTTCAAAAAATTGTCCTTCAGTTCCTTGCCTGCACTTGCTAGTGTTCTAGAAAAGAACAGATAAAATTATTTCTTATGATTGCACCAGTAATCAAGGATCCTGTCCTTATTGTGCTAGGTATTGCTCAGACATATATTGTAAAAAAGAGGCAACTCCTGTCCTAAAGGGCATGATATTTTTTATTAAACTATTCCAAATAAATGCTTGATATGCCTTACAAAATAATGTATTCTATGCAATTTAAACAAATCATTATTGGAAATCAAACACTAGCCAAGATGTGCTGAAGAGAAATTGCCAAACCTTTATAAATTCTTTCCATTTGTTGATGCTTTAATTCAGTGGTGCTAAAGGTTTTGGCCCTGCAGGCCATATGAGTGGTGTGGGTCCAGTCTGTAGGTTGGATCAGGATTTGTGCTGCCCCTACCAGGATTGGGCCCGATGCCACCCTGAGCCCCCAATCTAGTGTGCAGGGTCTTGGCCCGTGGGGTTTCCATGGGTTGAATGACATGGTGCTGTGGGCCAAATTTGGCCTGTGGACCAGGGGTTGAGCACATCTGCTTTAAGTAATCTAAATGATTATTTTACACCTAACCAAACCAACTATTCTATTCCTAGACAAGGCATGGCTAATCATATATTCACATAAATGTATTAATTTGTGTCAGACTATGGATGCACCTAGTCTGCGTTCATGTGACATAAGCTGCCCAAATATAGGCTGGAAGTGGTGTCCAGCCTTTCACTGCTCCCAGGAGCTGCGTGGGGAAACCAGTATAAGTAACCTGGGGTGAGGGGAGGGCCAGCTGGGATGGAGGGACAGGGGGTGTGCAGGGGTCCATGAGAAAGGAATTACTCTGTGGGGTGGAGGAGGAGGCTGGGGAAATAAAAATAGACCAGGCAGAGTTGAAGGGGTGGGAACAGTACAGCCCCAGGGCTGAGGTGAGTGGCTGGTCTTTCCCAGCCCTGGGGCTGTGCTCTAAACACATACAGGTGATCATGAAATTGGGTTAAGCCCATCTTAGATCAGGTTAACCAAATTTTAGTCTAAGCTGGTGCATCTACTCAGGTGAACTTACATCTAGTGCACCATTCTGGGGGTGATTTAAGCACATCTGCATGACTGGGCATTTAGATCAGCCTAACCCTATTCAAATGTACTGAAATTATATGCTTTGCTCTTCAGCAAGCAACTAAGCACATAAGACCTAATCTGCAGTCCACTGAATTCAATGAAAAAGTACTAATAATGTGGAAAATGTGGATAGAAGAACTGCTTTAGCACAGGTTGTTCAGACTCTTAGTACTACTGCCATTTTTTCATCTTCAGCTTTTAGCATAGCATATGAAAACACCACTCCCTCCAAAGCTCAAAATGCAAAAATGAAAACAAAAATGTATTCAAACTCCAGAGAAACTTGTGCATTTGAAATGAAATCTTTAAGGGAGACTGTCACCACCTAGTCAATCAATATCTCAGTGAATCTAACGAAGTCAATTTGAGAAATAAATATTAGGGGTGTGTGGAATTTCAACGGGTGTTTTGTTTTGAAGCTGTTTCTATGCATTTCAAGCTTGAAATAGAGAAATTGAAACAAAAAAAAAGGCTTTGAAACAGCTTCAAAACAAAATGAGAGCACTCAAAATGTTTAGAAAGTTGTGAAATGCTTTAAGTTTCGAAGCTGGGCTTGCTTGCAGCTAAACAGAAACTAGGGAGAGGGAGTGAGAAAAAGGGGGGAGGACTGCTCTGATATTGATTGTGTAGCTGGTCAGTGACTGTGATCCTTCCCTCAGGTCCCTTCCAATCCCAGTACTCTTGGGGAGGGATGGAAAAACAGCATAAAAGCATTGTTTTAATTGAGCTTTCTCTGTGCCTTGGGGTCAGCTTACTGAGATGTGTCCTCCAGCAGTTCAGCAGCATCAGAAAGGTTATCACTTCCTACTGGCTAGTTTGTTCCTGGCAAGTGGGATTCAATACCTTTTCCTTTCCTAATACCCTTTATTATTATATTCATTCCTTTCAATGTATTCCTCCCCATAAATCCTCTTTTTGTTTTTGTTAGTCTATTTTGATTCTTTCCCCCCAGAAAAGAAATCTGTGCCTTCTCTCACAGTATGCATTCTATTCACTGTGCAGGGAAGCACAGCATATATTGCATATTATAATATACAATATAGACAGAACACATACATACATTTATATATTTTATTTATTACATAAATACATATATACATGACATAAATACATACATACAATCATCTACATATATTATATAAATACATATTACAGTACAGAAGAACACACAGATTTTCCAGCTCACCAAACACACTATGAAACGTGCTGGAAAAGCAGCTGGCAAACCTTCAGGGAGGGGCGGAAGAGGGGGTAGAGGAAGAGCTGTAAGTCCCACCAGTGTCCCCCCTGGCCCCCTGCCCCAAACTGAGATGCAGCCTCTTTTCTACAGTTAGCAGGCATGAGGCTTCTGGTTCTACTGGCAGTAAGGAGAGGGAAGCAGTGCTACTGCCTGAGTCTGCAGCCCCTCCAATAGCACCAGTCATAACCCCTGCCCCAACACCACCATGGCAACAAGCAGCACTATCATGACAGACTCCTCCATCCCCATTTCATTTCCCAGCTTGAGCCTTCCAGTACCAGAGGAAGAGCTGAATCTGGAGCTGGATCTGAGTGCCATAGTGAAGGAAATTCTGGGGAGGGAAGGGGGAATCAGCTGAGTTTGTGCTCCACACCCCTCAAGTTTCCCCTAGAGCCAGATCTCCTTCCTCAAAAGGCACTTTGGAGGAGGCTGTGGCAGAGGTCATGGAGGCAAGTGGCTCAGCTGAGTCCACTCCTCCTGTTGCTGTGCCTCTGCCTGCTGAGAAGGGGGAAAAGGCAGCATCTGTACATGCACCTGCACCCTAGAAGCAAGGGGGTACTGTGGTCTGGGATCATTTTGAGCTGGCAGATGATCCCACAAATGCTATCTGCCTGCATTGCCAAGCCAAAACCAGCTGGGACAAGGGAACAAAACACATGAGCACCACGGGGATGATGATGCATCTCCGCACGCACCACCCTCTTGCCCTTGTTCCTTCTAAGCCTGGCACCAGTGGGAGTATACCCAAAAATAAGTCCCCCTCTCTCTCAAAAGTCACTGTCTGCCCAAAGCAGAGGCAGGCCACCCTGGAACAGTGGGGGAAAGGTGGTCACAAAGCGGGGTGTGTTCCAAAGGCGAACAAGGTCACCCAGAGCATTGGGGACTTGCTTCCCTGGATGGCCAGCCCTTCTCCTTAGTTGAGCGGCCAGGGTTCAGGCGTCTTATGGACCTCATGGCCCCATCCTACTAAGTTCCCGCATGCACCATCTTTAGCAGGACAGTGGTGCCCTCTCTGTATGAGGCATGCAAGGAGTATTTGAGGGAGGAGCTGCACAAAGCTGGTCCACAGGTGACCTTACACTGCCTCGGACATCTGGAGCAGCTGGGGTGGAGATCATGCAGATCCCTCCCTCACAGGGCACTGGTGCGACCAGTCAGGCTGTTGGTGGAGTCTCCTTCAAGCCGAGGTGATGGATGAGTCCCACACAGCGACAGAGATTATGGGGTCCATGAATCGCTTGGTGTAGGGGTGGCTCATTGGGCAGGGCGAGCTCACCCACGGATTCATGGTCATCGACAATGGGGCCAATATGGTTAAGGTGGTCCATGATGCCAACTTTGTTGGCATCATATGTGTGGCACACAAGATGCACCTCATTGTCAGGGATGCCTTGGAGGGGGACAGGGCTGCCAGTGACAACACCAACAGAACCAGCAAGCTCATTTCCAAATGCAGGAAGTTGGCAGGCTACTTCCACCAGAGCATCAAGGGGGCCAAGATGCTTTGGGACAAACAGGCAGAAATGAACATCCCACAGCACAAAATCATGCAGGAAAACTCAGTGGAACTCCACATACCTGATGCTCAAGCGGCTGGTGGAGCAACAGAAGGCCATACATGAGATGGCCTTACTTGGGGAGACTGGGATCAGCGGCTCCCTTAACAGAGCTGAGTGGGACATGAACTCCCAGATCTTGGTGGTCCTCAAGCCCTTCCTTGAGGCCACCAAGACCCTCAGCACTGGTGATGCCATCCTTAGCCAGGTGATCCACATAGTGAGGGAACATCAGAACCAAATGGAGAAGTTCCAGGGGATCAATGTTCCTGGCTGAGGCACACTGCTGTCACCAGATGTGCAGGCACTGGTGAAGCGACTGAAGGAGGGCATCAGGAAACGGCTTGATCCCTTGTGGTCCAGTATGGTCAACATGCTGGCTGCCATATGTGACCCCAAGGTGCAGGGGGGAGTATGCAGCAGCAAAACCCTGGAAAACTGGACAGAGGTGCTGGTGAACAGAGTCAGGGAAGTAGAAGGGCACAGGCAGGGAACATGGAAGAGGGGGATCCACTTTCCTGTGCCAGAACACCATTCACCAGCCAGTTTCCTCCTCTACCACAGGCCCTGTCAATGTGGGCCAAGGTCATGGCTTCCATGATGGGATCCAAAGGCACCATACCCCATCATCATGCACGTAGCGCTCAGGCCTTGGTGGTTGCCTAGCTTGCTGAGGACATAGAACCGCTGCTGTGCGACTCCTTGGGCTACCAGGCAAGCTGCAGCCAGATGTGGTCAGATCTGGCCACATTTGCTCAGGAACACCTGTCCTGTCCACCGACCAGTGTTCCAAGCAAGAGGGTGTTCAGCATTGTTGGTGATGTAGTGACACCCCACCACACCTCCTTAGATTCATAGATTCATAGATTCATAGATTAAGGGTCGGAAGGGACCTAGTAGATCTTCTAGCCCGACCCCCCGCCAGGGTGGGAGAACAACAAAAAAACCCCAAAAAGAGAAACGGGACTCAAATGAGTCCAGCCAGGTAGGCATCCAGCCTCTTCTTAAAGACCCCCAGGGTAGGGGCCAGCACCACTTCCCTTGGAAGTTGGTTCCAGCTCCTAGCCGCCCTAACTGTGAAGTAGTTCTTGCGGATGTCCAATCTATACCTCCT